GTTTGGACTGCACCCAAAGAAATCCAAGACTGAAGGGGGAAGAGTATAGTCAGAAGAACAAACATTAGTCAGGAAAAAGCTGTGAAGTTAAAAGATAGCAACTGCCCAAAGGGTACGAATATAAACAGTTGAAATGATTCATGTGTATAAACATTTTATACCTATATTTAACAACAGCAGAGGATTAGATTGATTGAGGAAGACAATAATGTGATGGAGGGACCTGTGATGAAATCAAAGTATATTGTATGACTGAGTTCTCTTACAGTCCTATGCTTATGCAGGTTGAAGGCTGCAGCTTTTCTTTGGCTGCTTTAATGTTAATGAGGAGCCATCTCTGCTCCATTCTTTTGTACTTACACAAATAAGGCAACTTCTCAAGTAGTAAATCAGTGGTTAGTGAACTTGATTTGATGTAGTTTAATGAGTTCAATTCTTTTTCATATCTGGAGGGTTCAAACTCATCCTAACCACAGAAATTTATTTGGGAGTATGTCCAACTACTTAACCGTCTCAAAGGATCTCTAATCTGCTCCTGCTGCAGTGAATGTAGGGTCCATAACTAAAGGCTAGGCAAAGAGTTGAAACACAGAGAAATAAGATTTTTAGTCTAGAGATTAGAGTACTTATGCTGGAGGGCAGCTGTCCCCAGTGACAGCTTACTGGTGTAATTGAATTGTTGCTCGACATGGAAAACAGGCAAACTTTAGAGCAGGGATTAGAACTGAGGAGTTCCACTTCCTTAGGGTAAATTCATGGGATTACTATTACTGAGCTTAACATGTACTACTACTATTATTGCTACTACTACTGCAATCACTACCACTACCATTACCATTACCAGTACTATTGTTTTTGTGAGGTTGCCTTACCTACTGAAGCTGTATGTATCTCTTACAGTGTTGTCCCGCTTGTACCTCCATATTCACAGAAGAAAACTTGATACCAAATATTTTGAACTGTATTCAAAAGTTCATTGCCTCATCACATTCTTTAAGCATGAGCCATTTCTTTTCTCTTTCGTGTTACTTCCCAAAATCTGATTAAATATTTGTCTGAGGTTTAGAGAGGAAATGGGATGTTACAGCCTGCATTACATATACAGCAGAATTTGAGATGGGCATAGAATCATATCTTTGTGTCTTTTGTCTACGCTTTCTTCATGTGAGGAAGCTACACAAAAATTCTCCTCTTGAAAGATTGGTCCAAGGATGCTGTTAAGGTTTGTTTCAGAAGTTCTCTCGAAGAACTTTTGGGTGCCCAAACACCAAATTTCCTCACCTTTTACAGCTCTCCACAGTTACAGCTATGATGAAGGTATGCATTCTTCGGGAACTAGACACTACCTATTCACAATTAAACTCAGGTTAGGAAAGTCGTAGAATTTCTCACTGAATACTGATCTATCAAAAAAAAAAAAAAAGTGCTGTGTGCCAAGTGCCTTATACAAACAGTTTGTGTGAGGTGTTTCATCCACACCAGTCAAAATGTAATGGTCTCAACCTGTGGACCAAGAAAACAAGATTAAAACCAGCTGCAGAGCCATGGTTCCACCCTGAGAGGCATCTACCTGGTTTGCTCTCTGGTGATATTGTACCACATACAGGTAGTGCAGTTGCCTGCAGCTGGCTCACAGAGTCCCACAGTTTGAACCCTCTGATGCATGGCTATCACTTCTGCAGTGCCCTTGAGGGCCAGCGAAGCATGCAGAGCCAGCTTTTGCAATTTTGTTTTGAAAGCATAGCCTGCAGTCCTTGCATCACTGACCTCCTACTGTATGTGTAGCCTGGGTAGAGTGGAAGTCAAACCAACCTTGATAAAGATACCTACTACCCAGTCTGTTTTGGCTCAGACCTGCAGTTCCTGGGAGGACTGGGTTGCAAGAATCCAAGCTGGCTCCTGCCCAGCTATGCGAGGGTAAAAGAGTCCTGTTGTGCTGTCTGTACTCTCTCTGTTTCTCCAGGAGATGATGAAAATGCAAAGGGCAGTCAGGTTTTGTCCTTACAAAAAAAAAAAAAAAAGAATCAAACAAAAAAAACAAACCAAAAAACCCAACCCCCAAAAACCAGTATAAATTTAAAGTGACTTCTGAACATTCTGAACAACCTAATACAGGGATTAAACCCCTTTGTTTTAGTCAATTTTCTAACTCCTTGGACCATTTCATGATTTTAAACTCTGCTTCAAAAGACTGTCTTTTATAGGGGTTTATATCCTGGGTTTTTTGTGTTCCTCCTATACTGATGTTAATGGAGGCTGCAGAAAGGGATGGGTAGGTTTGAACCTTTTATGTCTTTTGAGGAGAAAGTATGCTCAGCTTTGCAAAGCTTAATAATGTCTCCGCTGTGGCATTACTAAACCTTGATCTGTGCACCTCTAAATCTTTCTTGACACAGATGTCCTCTTGGAGGCATCCAATAAGAAGGTTTTTTCAGGTGTCTACAAAGCAATAGAAGTCCATCGCCATTTCAAATTTGGACAAATTTTGGGGTCTTATCTTTTTCCACAGAATGAGGTGTTTATTTGCCATTAAATTTAAATGGAAAGGGATCAGGCTTTGATGCCTAGGAATCACATAAAAATAGAGCAAATGTTGATTTGAAGTATGCTTTATTTAATAGACCTTCATTTCAATATTTGGTAGTAAAAGAAAGAAAAAAGACAGTAAAAGACTGACCACCTATTGCTATGCAATACAATATGCCTAGGTATCATCCACCTGTGCTGCCTTTGATGTTCTGTCTTGTATCTACTCCAAGACTTAGATCAATTCCCAGCACAGTGGGGGTCATGATGTGATGGCATGGCTGATGTTTCAGGTTAACTGTCCTGTGTTTTTGCCCTGTGAGGAACTTCAAGCACAGCAGAAACAGGCTCTTACGATGTCAGAATAATATGCAGAGCTCTTAGACCTGTGGTAGTTAACTTACTCTGATAATGGTGCCAGTGGCATCATAAATACTCCGCTCAGGCACATTTTGTCTGGAATGAAACCACATGGCTGGAATGCATTGAAAGCTCTTTGGAAGCAAGGACTGTTTGTTTTTAATTTGGCTAGTGAAAGAGTAGTAAGCTTATGACTCCAAGATGTTACAAACCATGTTGAAGAATGAAAAAAATAAATCAGTGGTGGAGAAGGACTCTTAACTGGGTTAGAGAGAACTTTGGACAACATGTGACACATTGGTTTTATGTCATTCTCAGCACAAATGTTACAGCAGAAAAGAGAACTCTCTGAAAGAGTTGATCTAGTAAAAATGATATGAAGTATTCCACCATTATTATTATTATTTATTTCTTGTTATGCTTGTAATAATTCAGGTGCTTTCCAAACCGAAAAGCTACAGGCCCTGCCCCGAGGAGCTCACAATCTAAAGGTAGACAAGGAGAGAAAGGTGAAGGAGAAGGTGTCCACAGAGAAGTCAAGAGGCCAAGATGGAAATCAACCATATCTTAGCAATCAAATGTGGTTTGACTGCATTGTTGCAAAGCTATACAAACTATTTTCCAATTGCTGCTCATATTTTCCATTCTGGGTCAACTAATTCACTGCCAGGTGCCATGGCACAGACAGATGTGCAGGAAGGAAGCTTTCAATACGTGAGCTCAGAGAGAGTAACACATGCGTAAAGCAGAGCTGGAAAACTCACCTAAAAGTATAGAGATGAGAGGGGTTTATCCGGATTTTCAAAACTCAGTTCAGTACCAGGATAGTTTAGATCCAGAACGGTATGGTTTTAGGTCAGGTCCTACAAGGTGGGAGTTACATGTGATGGATTCCATCAGGAAAGTAAGTGTCCTGTATACATCTGGAGGTTCCTTAATAGCGGCTAATATGAACTACAAAATCTATCATGGCTGGGCTCGGAAAGTTAAGAATGAAATGACCACACTGATATGGTATATTCACATGTTTCCAAGGGAGAAGAAGGATGGTGCTGAGTGTTCGAGGGTGGTAACTCTTACGTAATTTGAAAAATTACATTTTGAATAATGTAGGACACCAGTCTCTGATTAAAAAGAAACAGACTGTTTAATTTTAAAAATACTGTTTTTGACTAAGACAGTAAGTCACTCAGTTATGAAAAATACTATTAAGTTTTCTTTATACATTTAAGTGTCTAAGTATTTTTTATAAAACCTCCAATCAGGTTCCCCCAAACTCTGCAATTGTCAAAGAAACTGTCTTAAGGCTTGCCTTTAAAAACTTCTCAACAAATTGCCGTATTTTTCCAAGTACTTGGGGGATCACTGTATCTTTGTTTATTCCTGAAGTATCTTTCTCTTAGCAAATATGAGTGCATTGTGAAGGCAAAAGCTAAGAAGCAGTTGAATATTAAAGTGCATAGGTTGTCCACATTTGGAAAAATAAATGGTTGAAGAAGCAGTAGCTGCTGTGATTACAGATTTCCGGGGAGTAATCCATCATCGGTTTTTAGCAAGCCAGGGATATTTCTTTTACTATAAGAATCATTTTCTTACAGTCTTCAAATCCTGCAAATGCATTTCTAACAATGGTATCAGGATGGTGATAATCCTCTTGCTGGGAGGGAGCAGCTGTAATTCAATAATTAGATAGACTGACCTTTCATAATTTACAGGTATTCATATTCCTTCAATAAATAAAAGAATATACACTATCTTTTGATTCTGTATAGCTTTTGAAACAAATCAAGATTCTAGCAAGTTAGATAAATTATTCTAATAGCTTGACATGAATTATGCTGACAGGAGCCGCTTAAGATTATTATGGTGCCCAGAATCTTTAAGAACCTACAAAGTTAAATAAAGGTTTACAAGTCTCTTAAGCTACTGTTTATTTGCATAGAAAAATATTTATCATAGGAGTCAACTATCATATGAGAGAAATTGCATTTGTTGTAATTGAAAAAGATAGCTAAAAAGTTTCTGTGGGTTATTGCAACAGTACAAGAATACAAGATGCTTCCATTTATTAAAAAATGTAAAACAAATCGTGAAAGCTAAAGCAGGCTACAAAACAGAAGGTCCCCGTATTATCTTTCTCTTTACTATGTTACAAGATCATGTGCCACAGCTGAGTACTATAAAGTGTAATTCTGCATTTGCTAATATAATTCTTAAAACACCCCCCCCAAAGCACTATGCAAAATATATATATTTGTAAATGCTTCCTCCTGTAAGCATCACAACCTTGTTATCACATAATCACCCTGATCAACTGTTTCCTGTTTCCCATCACAGTCAATGCTAATGTCCAACTCCTTGTCCAGCTGATCCTGCAGTGTGGCTTGTTCTGAGTTCTCTAACTCCATTTTCTCTGTTTCTGAAGCACAAATACTTCCCTCTTCCTGTGAATCTGAAGAGTCGCTGTTATTTTGTGACTCAGCTAACACGCATTTTTCGTCAGGACTTTGGATGTTTAATTCACAGTTCATGGTCAGTTCTCCCTCTTCCAGTTCAGCAGTTTTCTCACATTGTTCTTCTGCCTGTTGACGGGAAACTTCTTCAGAAACGGTATATATTTTATTTGTACTCTGCTCCACAGAGTTTGTTTTTGATCGTCTGTGAAATAACCCAAAATTTTTTATGTCTGTCACAAAATTCACACGCTTTTGTTTCTCCTTAGTGGACTCTGACACCATCATTGCTGAGCCGTTGCTTACATTATGTGTTTCAGAGGCAATAGTGGCTGATCTTGGGTGTATCATTGTTGTTATGTCAAACAGGCTGAAGGTCTTTTTCTTTCCTTTCTTGTTTCCTTCACCCTCACTATTTTCTTCATTTTCTGAAGGAGAGGCAGTGTCCTTGTTCATCTTTGCAGTCTGCAAATTAGACAGCTTGCTTCCTTTTAACAAACCCAGGACTTCAAAACGAAAGCTGGAAATATCTTGTTTTAACTCCTAAAAATTAGGAACAGAGATGAAATATCAGAGCATGAAAGCTAAATTGACTTTTCCTCTTGTAATTAAAAAAAGAAAAAAAATAGGCTTATGCTAGGGATCAGTAATAAATTTCACCATCTGGATAATACCTGGCATCTTCAAGGTGCTTTGCAGACTGTCTAACGGATCTTCCAGATGAGACAGAAAAGTGAGCATCAATGTTATCAGAGGAATCTTCAAAGGAAATGTGCCTTTAGCCTAGACTACTCATGGAAATCACCAACAGTGGTGGAGGAAGGAGCATGGACAACTCAAAGACCAACAGCCAATCTGCTAGAAAGTATTATCCTATTATAAGAACAGCATCTTCATAATCTCTTAACACCATCCCTTACACACATGGGGACACATGCACACACAAGGCATACACATGTGTGAACGCTTCCTTGTGAGTAGCGGTACAAGTAGGACTTTGTGCATTTCCACTAAATGTTTGGCAGCTAGCAGCTAAGTCAGAGCAAATCACTGCAGGTTGCTTTCAGCCAGTGCAACCTCTGCCTCTTAAAGGCCTGTCACAGGAGAGGGCAACTTGCCTTCAGGAGGTCTCTATTTCTCTTTGTTTTCTCTAAAGGGATAATCATAGAATCATAGAATCATTTGGATTGGAAAATACCTTTAAAATCATTGAGTCCAATCATAAAACTAACACTGCCAAGTCCACAACTAAACCATGTCCCTAAGTGACACATCTACATGTCTTCTAAACACCTCCAGGGATGGTGACTCAACCACTTGTCTCTGGGCAGTGTGTTCCAATGCTTAATAACCCTTCTGGTGAAGAATTTTTTCCTAATATCCAATCTAAACCTCCCCTGGTGCAACTTGAGGCTGTATCCTCTTGTCCTATCAATCGTTACTTGGGAGAAGAGACCAACACCCACCTCACCACAACACCCTTTCAGGTAATTGTAGAGAGCGATAAAGTATCTCCTCAGCCTCCTTTTCTCCAGACTAAACAACCCCAGTTCTCTCAGCAGCCCCTCATAAGACTTGTGCTCTAGATCCTTCAC